CTAGTTGCGTGCGTGCGTGCATGTGGTGTGGTCGCACGTGTTATTTGTGCGTGGTGAGTCTAGCGTGCCGTGCGTGCGTGCTGGAATGTGTGGCTGTGTGAGTGCAAAATGATAATTGTGCGTGCTGTGCGTGCCGTGCGTGCGTGCTTCGGCCGTGCCGTTGAGTGCGTGCGTGCGTATGCGTCGCGTTGCGAAGCTGCTGCGGTTGCGGTGCGAGTGTCGGTGCATGATGCAGTGCGAGCGTGTCTCGTGTGCGCACTATAACGTGGACGAGTGCTACGCTGACACGATGGCATTCAAGTTATTTCTGCTGTTTTGTGTTTATAGGCGGTCACATGCTGCACATTACCACGTGTGCAGACGACCCACGAGGCACGGTACATGTGTCGCGTGAAAAACGACGCCGGCGTCTCAGAGAAGGAATTCAACCTGCAAGTATTAGGTGAGATCATTTAGAACCATGATTGCTTCATGTTTATGCTTGAATTAGTTTAGGAGTCGCAAAATATATGCATAGAAATAGCGAGAGGCGCCGAGGAAGAGAGAAGAGCGATATGGAGAGTCAGACGTCAGACGGTGAGAAAGAGAGATCCAGAAAGAGACAAAGAGAGAGAGAGAGAGAGAGACAGAGAGAGAGAGGGAAAGAACGCGTGAGAGAGAGAGAGAGAGAGAGGAGAGAGAAAGAGAGAGTGAGAGAGCGAAAGAGAGAGAGAGAGAGAGAGAGACCAAGCAACACACACGGAGAGAGAAACGGGCAAAGGAAGAACATATGTTCGAGCGGGAGAGAGAGAGAAAGAGAGAGCAGGAGAAAGTGAGAGAGAGAAAAAAAAGAGAGCAGGAGAGAGAGAGAGAGCAAGCGAGAGATACGAGATATGCATATGCTTAAACTTCGTGTCACACGCTGGCGCCACAATCCATCAACTATCGCTTTCACTTTCAGTTCCTCCGTCGATCTCGGACAAGGTCAAGGACGTCTACCAGGTGGTCACTAACAGTACGGTCAGTATCGGATGTCCAGCTACGGGCAAGCCTGAACCAACCATCACGTGGCTGCGTAACGGACAGCCACTCATCGCTGATGTTGACGATGTTGAGGTGAGTGACAATGACGATGATGATGACGATGACGATGGTGATAGAGTTTCCATCCATCCATCCATCCATCCATCCATCCATCCATCCATCCATCCATCCATCCATCCATCCATCCATCCATCCATCCATCCATTCATCCATCCTCCAACCATCCATTCATCCATCCATCCTGATCCATTACATCCATCCATCCATCCATACATCCATGCATGACATCTCATCTATCCATTCCAGTGGCCATCCATCCATCCATCCATCCATCCATCCATCCATCCATCTATCCATCCATCCATCCAATCCATCCATCCATCCATCCATCCATGCATACATCCATGCTCATCCATCTTATCCATCCATCCATCCATCCATCCATCCATCCATCCATCCATCCATCCATCCATCCCATCATCCATCCATGCATACATTCATGCATCCATCCACACATGCATACATTACATCCATGCATGCATGCATCCATCCATCCATCCATCCATCCCATCCATCCATCCATCCATTCCATCCATCCATCCATCCATCCAATCAAGTCCATCCATCATCCATCCATCCATCCATACATCCATCAATCCATCCATCCATCATCCATCCATACATCCATCCATACTTCCATGCAATACTTCCAGCATCCAATCATTACATGCATACATACATACGATAATACATACATCACTAACATCAACATACACTCATACATACATACATATCATACATACATACATACATTACATGCATACATGCATTTACATGCATTACATGCATTTACATGCATTACATGCATTTACATGCATTACATGCATTACATGCATTTACATGCATTACATGCATTACATGCATACATACATCCAAGCATCCATACATCCATACATTCATACATTCATACATGACATACATACTACCATCCATCCATCCATCATACCATCATCCATCACATCCATCCATCATCCATCCATCCATTCATCCATCCATCCATCCATCCCCCATCCATCCATCCATCATCCATCCATCACATCCATACCATCCCTCCATCCATCCATCCATCCATCCATCCATCCATGCATACATATATATCATTATGTTGGATGCACAGTTTTGTATGGATGAATAATTCAGGGTTCTGTTGTAGTTTCTTGCCGATGGCAGGCAGCTACGTGTGTCTGCCGTGCAGGCGTTTCAGACAGGCACCTACAGCTGCAGAGCGCAGAACAGTGCGGGAGAGGCTGAGAAGGACTTCAGACTACAAGTGCTCGGTATGATCGCGCGACGAGGGGTTAACAATGACAAACTCTTCTATTATTAACTACTTTATTACTGTTTTTATTATTACTTATAATTACGTTGTCATTATTAACTTCTGGAGTGATCAGACTTGTGACACTGCTGCAATTAATTGCTACACAGCAGATATGAAATGAAATCAATGATGAAATGATTCGATGATTGATGATGAAATGATTCGATGATGAAATGATTCGGGCGCGCGGGCGCGGCGGCGGGGCGGTCCTACCTTTTTGCGGCGTCACTCTTTCCAGCGCCTCCCCTTCTTTTATTCCTCTCCTGCCGGGGGGGCCGCCCCGGCGGGGCGCGCCGGGGCGCCGTTCCCCCGATGAAATGATTCGATGATCGGATGATGAAATTGATCGCATGATGAAATGATTCGATGATCGATGATGAAATGATTCGATGATTGAGAATGCCATTCGATGATCGATGATCGAAATGAATTCGATGATTGAAATGATTTCGATGTATTGATGATGAAATGGTTTATTGATCGATGCATGAAATGCGTTCGCATGATCGATGATGAAATGTTTCGATGCATCGATGATGAAATGATTCGATTTATGAAATGATTCGGATGATTTTGATGATGAAATGATTCGATGATCCGATGATGAAATGGTTGACATGATCGAATTGATGAAAAATGGCTTTGGATGTCGATGATGTAAATTTGGTTCGCATGCATCGGATGATGGAAATGATTTCGATGATGAAATTGATTCATGTATTGTGATGAAATGGTTTTGATGATCGATGATGAAATGGTTTTGATGATCCGATTGATGAAATACTGTCTTCGATGACTCGATCGATGAAATTGATTCGCATGATGAAATGATTCGATGATTTGATGATTGAAATGGTTTGATGATCTGATGATGAAATGATTCGCCATATCGATGATTAAATGGTTGTATGATCGATGCATGAAATGGTTCGATGATCGCGATGGATGAAATGATTCGATGACGTGAAATGATTCGAGATTAATGATTGAAATGGTTCGATGATCGATGATGAAGTGCATTCGATGATCGATGATGAAAATGATTCGATGATCGATGATGAAAGGTGTGATCGCATGATGAAATGATTCGATGACTCGATGATGAAAAATGGGTTCGAATGAATCCGATGATGAAATGATTCATTGACATGAAATGATTTCCGATGATCGATGCATGAAAATGGTTTGATGATCGATTGATGAAATGGTTCGATGATCCGATGATGAAACTGAATTCAATTGATTCGAAATTATTCGATGATCGGTGATGAAATCGATGATATGGAATCATCTATGAATCAAATAACATAGTACATGTTTAACTATTGTTCAGATTGTCTTTAGATGTAGGTTAGCTATATGCGGTAAGGTCCTATCGAGTGTGTTGCGTGCATACGAATTCAGGGACGTAGGGTTCGATAATGTATACGAATTGATGAGATACGCATAAGAACCATTGAACATGTTTCCAGTAATTACATTTAGCATTTGAATGTTTGCAGTTATCAGATGTGAGTATTCTTTCGTTAATTTTCATGTATATCTCTTTTTTACATACAGTTCCTCCTAAAATCTCACTGATTTGACTACTGACTTTGGAGGTTCTTCGTGAATCAACCCATTCTCCTCCAGTGTCCGCGTGAAGGCCACCGCCAATGCAGATGTCATCTGCGATGTTCAATGGCCGCACTGAGCGGCCAGAAGGGCTTAGACCAAAAAGACATCGGAGAGAGAGAGAGAGGGAAAGAGGGTGAGAGAGAGAGAGAGGGGAAGGGGGGAAGAGAGTGGCGGAGCGAGAAAGATACGACCTCCATGATTATCTACGGAAATGTAACGCGAAGCCACAAACTTGACGTTGTTTAGTACAACCTACGATCGACACATCCAACATTCACGGTGAGATGCGAGTCATCCTTGGAGAAACAATCTCCATCGAGTGTCCGGCAGACGGCAATCCCAGACCACAGGTCAGCTGGCTCCAGGACAGGCTGCCCTTGCCGGGGAATAGCCGTTACGAGAAATGGGACGACCAGGAAATGTTTGGTCTTCGCATCCATGAGGCTAAGGTACCTGATCACCGCATCCTCGTCCTCTGTTGCTAAGGGCAACAACGCGGCTTCCGATTTCCTGGGATGAATATACGATGTATCACTGATGCCAGAAGAAATTTAGTTTAGTTTTTGTTAAGATATTTTGAGTTTAGATTTTGTGTAATTAGTGCTGGGACTTGTACGTGAGCATCAGTGTGTGGAATTCAGTATTTGTCATCTGCGAATCTGCATATCCAAAGCCAGGCTTAGGTCGGCCTTGCGACGCGAGGCGATTGCCTTGCGACTGATTTTCTGCAACTGGTTGCAAGTCGCAGCAACAATTGCGTCGCAGAGAAAGTTCGACCTAAGCACCCCTGCGACTGCCAGCGACGGGTCTGCGACTGGAAAATTGTCAGTCGCAGCGAGTCGCACATGTTCTACTCTTGCGACGCGACACGACTGGTTCCACCGGTCGCAAGCATTGTTTTTTATGGTTACTACCCGACATAAGCTGCCTTGTGATCGCTGCAACGAAATTCGTATGCATAACGAACAAAGCATGCGAATAAAACAATCAGTGCTTACAGTTATGTACACAACATGCACACAGCAACAAGTCATGTAAACTTGTTTAGTTGCGCGATCTATAGGCGATCGTCGCTTCGACCTAAGCGCATTCTGCGACAGTCGCAGGCAGTCGATCGCTGTCAGTCGCGTTGCAGTCGACCTAAGCACTCAGTTGCAGTCAATTGCAGTGCGTCGCATCGCGTCGCATTCAATTGCAACCCGATCTAAGCCCGGCTTTAGAAGAACCTGACTTGACTGATTGGAAACGCATCTTTGATCCTTGCAGACGTAGTTAACCACAGACCTTATAGAGTACCGAGAGTTAAGGACTTTGATTTTTCTATCGTGGATATTTATTCCTGCGAATTTCTCACGAGTTCTACCCTATTGCGCAGGTCACAGATGAAGCTTTGTACACTTGCATAGCTTCCAACGAGGCTGGTAGAACACACCAGGACTTCAGCCTGATGGTGATGGGTACGTCACCATGCAGACAACAATGACTGACAACCACGAATTGTGGATAAAATTACCTTTTATATAATTATTCAATTATTTGACTAGAATAATTTCTTAATATTTTTTGACCACGTACGTATTTTTTTCTTGTCGCTGACTTATGTGCCATCTAGGCACCTACGAGGCATAACTAACTAACTAACGTATTTTTTCATGTATTTTCAGTATTTGTACCTATTTTATGTGATTTTATATTCGCAGTGCCGCCCGCGATCGATGGCTCCGAGGAAAGGTCAGACGTACGCGTCATTGATGGCTACAGACTCTACCTAGAATGTTCAGCAAGTGGTAGCCCTATACCAGACATCACCTGGTTCCGGGTACGACATCAATAAATATCAGATATATAGCATAGAATTCACTGCGTTGGCTTTCAGAAGGAGATCGTCGGCATTTATGCTGTTATTGCTCTGTAACTCATATCACATATGCTGTTATTGGTCCGTAACAAACATCACATATGCTGTCATTATTTGTCAAATTTGTCATCCCCTGCTACATCAGGGGTTAATAGTGATGTCATATGTAATATGTAGCTATAGGCAGTAATGCTGAGGTTATTGGAGCGCATGTATGTATACGTACACGTGTGTTTTTCTTCGCTGTTGTGCGTAGGATGGACAGAGAGTGAGACCAGGTGCAAACATCGTACTCACGCGAAACCAGCTGCGCATTCTACGAGCATCATCAGCCAACGCTGGCAAATACACGTGCAGGGCCCGCAACAGCGCCGGAGAGACGGAGAAGGTTTACAATGTCAACACACTCCGTAAGTTTCCGCGACGCTGCACTGCTATACCTTCTTCTTCTTCTTCTCGGGTCACTACACACTACACTCGATCTAACCACTGCAGCACACAGGACCTGGCACAGTCGTTGAAAACCTCAAGGTCTCCCGGTCTACAGGGCTCTGGTAATACCACACTACACTACACGTACTCGACCTAGCCACTGCAGCACACAGGACCTGGCACGGTGGTTGAAACCCTCCAGGTCTTCAGGTCTACAGGGCTCTGGTAATACCACACTACACTACACTCGACCTAACCACTGCAGCACACAGGACCTGGCACGGTTGTTGAAAACCTCAAGGTCTTCAGGTCTACAGGGCTCTGGTAATAGGGGAAATTCCAGGATATGACTATACGTTGACACCGCACTACCACGTTGACAGTTTACTGTTACGGCTATTCAGCGAGATGTAGAAAATGGACATGAGTTTTAACAAATTGCGTGGACCTATGGCTAGCCTTCACCAGGCATTTCTCTCCCCAAGGGTGCAACCACGGCCACATCAATCCCCGACAGTTAAGCACGAAGGGTCGTTGTCGTATAATGGCGTATAATATGTACCCGAGGTAACTATACGATGATGAAATGATTCGATGATGAAATGATTCGATGATCGATGATGAAATGATTCGATGATGAAATGATTCGATGATCGATGATGAAATGGTTCGATGATCGATGATGAAATGGTTCGATGATCGATGATGAAATGGTTCGATGATCGATGATGAAATGATTTATTGATGAAATTATTCGATGATCGATGAGGAAATGATTTATTGATGAAATTATTCGATGATCGGTGATGAAATCGATGAAATGAATCTATGAATTCAAATCATAGTACATGTTTAACTATTGTTAGATTCGTCTTAGATGTAGGTAGCTATATGCGGAGTGTCGTTGGCGCATACGAATTCAGGAGAAGGGTTGATATGTATAATAATTGATGAGATACGCATAATATAATATATAATATATAATATATATATATAATATATAATATATAATAATATATAAGAACATTGAACATGTTTCAGTAATTACATTTAGCATTTGAATGTTTGCAGTTCCGATGTGAGATTTCCTGTTAATTTTTATGTTATCCCTTTCTTACATACAGTTCCTCCTAAAATCTCCACTGATTTGACTACTGACTTTGAGGTCTTCGTGAATCAACCCATCTCCATCCAGTGTCCGGTGAAGGGCACGCCAATGCCAGATGTCATCTGGATGTTCAATGGGCACGCACTGAGCGCAGAAGGGTTAGAACAAAAAGACATTCGAATTACAAGGTAGTCCATGCAGATTTGCTTACTATATGGTTTTGTAAATGAATTTCATGTACATGTACATATGTGTATAAAGATGTATATATAGTGAGATGTATATAAGATGTGATAGATAGTATATACGTGTATAGAACGATAGAAGACTCTGTAGATTACATCGTGAGTCACATTATTGCGGGATGTTGTGTGGTTACTATATGCTATTAGAATGAGTCGACAGTCGTGGAAAATGCGTACTGGACAACATTCAGAGCGAATTATACTCACGCGAAATGTGATTCACGTACGTACATCGCCGACTGGGTCAGCGCCTAAATCCTCAACCATAAATCAGATGACATAATAACAAGAACTAATAATACCTAGGTATTAGTACCTAGCTATATAGTTACCTAAGCATTAATACTTAGGTATTATTAGCTCTTGAATTCTCAGTTATATGTAGGAATGTGTGTGTGTGTATATATGTAATACGTATATATATATACGCGTATACGTAATATGTAATATGTATGAAATGTTGTATGAATTCTCACTTGTTCAACCTATGGTTGTGTTGACGATGATGTCTTGTTTGTTTCGGCTGCTCATTAGAGGCGGACAGCAGATGGATCTAACGCACACACTGACGGAGCACGCTGGCACCTACACATGTCGTGCTGAGAATGACGCTGGGCTAGACCAGCGAGACTTCAGGGTCCAAGTATTCGGCACGTATCCACTAATAAAGTTCTAGTAATGACTAGCCTACTGTTTGTGTGTGTGTGTGTGTGTGTGTGCGTGCGCGCGCGTGCGTGCGTGCGTGCGTGCGTAGAAGGACGGCAGTGTGATGGCAGAGTTCGGCCTCGGCTACAGGGTGTTGCCAGGAGGCAGCCTACACATCTCTGCCGCAGCAGAGAGCGATGGCGGATCATTCCAATGCTCAGCTAAGAATGACGCTGGCGACACCAGCGCCACCACCAATCTACTTGTCATCGGTGAGTCGGGCCAATCACGCCACAGAGATGAAGATTGCTCTCTTGTTTGTTGTGGCGGCGCAATTTAACCGATCAACCAACCGATTTAACCAATCAAAAGAAGCCGATATAGTCACGTGATATCTGTGGTGAGATTGGAGTCGGGCCTGTCTGTGACGTCTTCAGACAGGCATTGCTTAATTGTCTCGTTCATTAATTGCATTAATTAATCGCTCAATTAATTCAATTCGTCAATAACTTGATTATATTTAGTTGATTCATTATAATACTTAATTGGGTTATTAATTTTGTGTGTTATCGACGTTTGCAATGCGTGAGTGGTGATTTTTATGTTTGTTCTAATTGTACGACTCTGTAGAGTCTCACGACTCTGTACCTATCAAAACGGGTAAATGTCGTTGATAAGGGATTCCAGCCACATTTTGACAAATCCCCGTCATGTCTGCTAACATCATGAGGACATGATTGCTTTGACAAAGACAGTCGATGCCACATATAAGCGCTCATAAACAGAAGACCAGGACTATTGTGTGTGGTTCTGCACAATTGGCTTAGAGTTTATTAATTAATTAAGTAATTAATTAATTATTAATTTAGTTGGATTATTAATTTAATCATGTGTTTAAGTGTGTCATCGATGTATAGCCTCGTGTCTTGTGTGTTGCAGTGCCACCTCGCGTGCTTGACAGCAAACTTGGAGCTGTCGAAGTGACAGTGGTGGAGGGACGGCCTGTCGTGCTGCCCTGCCGTGTGTCAGGCACGCCCGCACCCGCCATTACCTGGCACAAAGGACAGAAAGTCATCAGCAAAGATGGTGAGTCGCGTGACCGTCTCTGACGTCATACTAACTAATTACATAACTGCCATACTGATTACGTAAGTTAATTAGCAGTCATTAATACTAATTGCTGTACGAAATGTCACCGTTACTATCACGTTCTGTTCTTGTGGCGTAGGCACGAAAAGTATTGTGATCAATTCTTGTTTATTGTTGGCCTTGCTGGGGCATGCGGGCGTGATTATTTTTATTGTGATTAAGTTTATTTTTGGGGCTGCTTGTATGCAGGTATGATATGATTAAGTATTGCATTTATCAGATTTTTTCTCCATGAAAATGTCTGTCTTCAGTACATGTATTTGTATTTGAATTACATGCAATAAAGATGTAATAATAATAATAATAATAATAATAATTAAGTTTATTGCTGGAGCTGCTTGTATGTATGCAGGTATGATATGATTAAGTTTATTGCTGAAGCTGCTTGTATATTTATTTATTTAGTTATATAGCATATCCTTCATTTTGTCCTGCCCTTCTATTAATTGCCATCATAGCGTATTTTATGCTTCATTAAGGTTTTTATTATGTTACTTTGGTTTTCGTATCATATATCATACGTCAACGTTACACAGCTGTTGGAGATTGAGAATGTTAGTTTTGCATCCCAGTGTCGTAAACAATCTTGTCCTTGCCCCCGTAATCGTCTCGACACGGTCGTCACTTGTAAATTGTGATCTCAAAGTCTTCGTTTTTCAACACACTTATGCAGCTTTATTTCCTTCGAGGTTTCTCTGACGTATCCACGATGTGTTGTTAGTAAAGTCGGATGTGTTTCCAGGATGGAGGGATGACGTTGGTCGTGCATAAAGTACGCCGGACTGACAAGGGTCTCTACCGCTGCCTAGCAGTCAACGAAGCCGGAAACAGCACCAAAGGTTTTATGCTGGATGTACTCGGTAGGGAAAAAAATACAATATAATTATATAAGAAAATCATTTCAAAATAATTTCAAAATTTCAAATAATTTCAATAATTTCAAAATTTCAAAAAATTTCAAATTTCAAATTTAAAAATTTCAAATAATTTTAATAATTTCAAAATAAAGAATTTGTGTTTGTCAAAATAAGAAAACTGTCGTCTGTTCTTCTACAAGGCGTTCTATTCAGCAAGCCAATAATATAACAGCCTGGCATGATTGATAGGTGGTTATAACAAATCATTGTAGTGGCACGTTCTAAAAAATGATTCTTGGCAATGATCGAAGTGCCGCAAATTCGGAAATTTTGCGTGCACCCACCAAATCACGTATAAGCTAATCTAGCCTGACTGAACTAGCAACCTTATCCACATAGAAGGGAGAAATTACCCTCAGATAGATAGATCTAGTGTTCTCACACCTTGGTGTCAGCAGTTATGGAGAGTTAAAATTATGATGTGTGGATACCTCTATAAGAGGCGCCTTGTCTGTAATCTATATCGAATGGTCTTCTTCTTCCGCAATGCAGTTGCTCCAACCATTTCGATGTCACGTGACAGGATCACAGTGGTGAAAGACAAAACCGTCACAATTCCTTGCGAAGTCAAAGGGCAGCCAAAACCGCAGGTGAGTGTGGTGGATATGGCACAATGAGTGGGAGTGTCACAATGCTGAGTCAGTAACACAGAGGTGGAGCTGAAACAATAAACAACAGTATTGTAGGTTGTGTGTAGGTAAATATATGGACGTCGTGCATATACATTGACGGACGTCAATGATATACAATATATATATATATATATAATATCAATGATATACAATACGTAATATTATAATATATCCGTATATTATAAGTAAAAGCACACGGACACCCATGTAGATATCAAAATAAATATAGAAATAGAACGAGGTGTTAAATCTAAACCAGCCAGCCTTCGAGAGTATATAACTTCCTCAGGCTATACAATGTATATATAAATAAATAATATAAATAAATATGGAAAATAGAATAAAGTACGTACTATAGTACTTTATTCTATTTTTCATATTTATTTATATTTATAAACATATATATATACACTGCTCCGTGTAGTTGTGCGTATGTATATATATATATATATATATATATATTTATTTATTTATTTATTTATTTATTTACATCATGCGTGTGTTTTTTCCTCGCAGGTGACGTGGACGAAGGACGGCAGTGTGATGGCAGAGTCGGCTCGGCTACGCAGGTGTTGCCAGGAGCGAGCCTTACCATCTCTGCCGCCAGCAGAGAAGCGACTGAGCGGAATTTCAAATGCTCAGCTAAGAATGAACAGCTGGCGACAACACAGCAGACACCATCATCTACTATGTCATCGGTGAGTCGGAGCAAATCAACCACAGAGATGAAATTTGCTCTTTGTATTTTGGTGGCGGACCGAATTTAAAGACGATGCAAGGAGGCACCGATACTTACCAATCAAAAGAAAGCGAAGATAGATCACGTGAATATATTCGGTAGCAGAGATTGCCTGAGTCTGGACTGAGAGTTAGGGCTGTCTGTGCCGTCTTCGACAGGTTGCTATGTCTCGGTGGTCATTAATTGAACATTAAATTAATCACTCAATTAATTCAAACTTGGTCAAAATATAACTCGATTATATTATAAGTTTGTAATTTCATTATAATACTTAATTGGGTTATTATGTCGGTGTTGTTATCGAGGTTGCATGACAAATGCAAAAATGGTGAAGTGGTGATTTTTATGTTTGGTTCTATTGTTACTTTTTTATATACACGATCAAATGATATCAAAAGGGGTAAATGTCGTTGATAGGGATTCCAGCACATATTTGACAAAATCCCACCCGGTCGATTGTCTGTTAAGATCATGAAGGACATGACGTGCTTTGACAAAAGAAAGTCGATGCACATATAAGCGCTACATGACAAAGAAGCAGGGACTTTTGTGTGGTTCTGCACAAATTGGTTAGGAGTTATATTATTATATTAATTAAATTAATTAATTATTAATTGTCGATTGGATTTATAATTAGATGTGTTAATGTGTAGTCAATACGATGGTTATAAAGCCTCGTTCTTGTGTAGATTGCAACAGTGCCACGCGAAGTTGACTCGACAGCAAAACTATGGAGCTGTTCGACGAGTGACAAGTGGATGGCGGGAACGGCTGTAGTGTGCCTGAACGTGTGTCTAGGCACAAGCCCGCAAACCCGCAATTACTGACACAAATGGACGAAAAGTCACATCACGCACAGAAGATGCTGTGACGTCGCAGCGTAGACGTCTCTGACGTCGACTAACTAACACTAAAATTAACATAACTCGGCAAACATGGACTCGCATTACGTAAGTATAATTAGGAGTCATTATACTATTGCTGTACGAAATTTATCGTTTAACTATACGTTCTAGTTCTCGGTGTGTAGGCAACGAAAGTATTGGGGATCATTCTATGTATTATTGTATGGCACTTTGCTGGGGACATGCAGGGCGTGATATTTTTTAATTAGTAGATTGTAAGGTTTATTGCCTGGGGGTGCTTGTTATTGGGGGATTGGTCTAAGCGTGAGCAGAGTGAAAAACATTACTTGCGAATCAGCTGGGAAGATCACGGAACAAAATCTCACCAGGTAAAGTGAATTACAGGTCGGGAAACTAAAAAATAGTTAAAAGGGAAACACCGATGAAACGGTTCCCAGTTCTACATACTATACAGTACAATACATAATAATCTATGCAGAGAACATATATTATGGATTAAGTTTATTGCTGGGAGATGCTTGTATGCAGGTAAATGATAATGATTAAGATTTAATGCTGGAAAGAAGCTGATTTGTATGCAGGATAAATATATTAATTAAAGTTTATTAGCTGAGGAGACTGCTGTAGTTAGTGGCAGGTATAAAATTATGATTACGGTTTATTGCTGGGAGCTGTTGGTATGCACGTTATATTGATATAGATTAGATTTTATGTGCTTGGAGCTGATT